TCCGGAGTCATATCTGACCGGTGTCATATCCGACCGGAGTCATATCCGGCCGGAGTTATATCCGACCGGAGTCATATCCGACCGGAGTTATATCCGACCGGAGTCATATCCGGAGTCATATCCGGCCGAAGTTATATCCGACCGGAGTCATATCCGACCGGAGTCATATCCGGCGTCATATCCGACCGGTGTCATATCCGACCGGAGTCATATCCGGCCGGAGTTATATCCGACCGGAGTCATATCCGACCGGAGTTATATCCGACCGGAGTCATATCCGGAGTCATATCCGACTGGAGTTATATCCGACCGGAGTCATATCCGACCGGAGTCATATCCGGAGTCATATCCGACCGGAGTTATATCCGACCGGAGTCATATCCGACCGGAGTCATATCCGGCCGGAGTTATATCCGACCGGAGTCATATCCGACCGGAGTCATATCCGGCGTCATATCCAACCGGTGTCATATCCGACCGGAGTCATATCCGACCGGAGTCATATCCGGAGTCATATCCGACCGGAGTTATATCCGACCGGAGTCATATCCGACCGGAGTCATATCCGGCCGGAGTTATATCCGACCGGAGTCATATCCGAACGGAGTCATATCCGGCGTCATATCCAACCGGTGTCATATCCGACCGGAGTCATATCCGACCGGAGTCATATCCGGAGTCATATCCGACCGGTGTCATATCCGACCGGAGTCATATCCGGCCGGAGTTATATCCGACCGGAGTCATATCCGACCGGAGTTATATCCGACCGGAGTCATATCCGGAGTCATATCCGACTGGAGTTATATCCGACCGGAGTCATATCCGACCGGAGTCATATCCGGAGTCATATCCGACCGGAGTTATATCCGACCGGAGTCATATCCGGCCGGAGTTATATCCGACCGGAGTCATATCCGACCGGAGTCATATCCGGCGTCATATCCAACCGGTGTCATATCCGACCGGAGTCATATCCGACCGGAGTCATATCCGGAGTCATATCCGACCGGAGTTATATCCGACCGGAGTCATATCCGACCGGAGTCATATCCGGCCGGAGTTATATCCGACCAGAGTCATATCCGACCGGAGTCATATCCGGCGTCATATCCAACCGGTGTCATATCCGACCGGAGTCATATCCGACCGGAGTCATATCCGGAGTCATATCCGACCGGTGTCATATCCGACCGGAGTCATATCCGGCCGGAGTTATATCCGACCGGAGTCATATCCGACCGGAGTTATATCCGACCGGAGTCATATCCGGAGTCATATCCGACTGGAGTTATATCCGACCGGAGTCATATCCGACCGGAGTCATATCCGGAGTCATATCCGACCGGAGTTATATCCGACCGGAGTCATATCCGGCCGGAGTTATATCCGACCGGAGTCATATCCGACCGGAGTCATATCCGGCGTCATATCCAACCGGTGTCATATCCGACCGGAGTCATATCCGACCGGAGTCATATCCGGAGTCATATCCGACCGGAGTTATATCCGACCGGAGTCATATCCGACCGGAGTCATATCCGGCCGGAGTTATATCCGACCGGAGTCATATCCGACCGGAGTCATATCCGGCGTCATATCCAACCGGTGTCATATCCGACCGGAGTCATATCCGACCGGAGTCATATCCGGAGTCATATCCGACCGGAGTTATATCCGACCGGAGTCATATCCGACCGGAGTCATATCCGGCCGGAGTTATATCCGACCGGAGTCATATCCGACCGGAGTCATATCCGGCGTCATATCCAACCGGTGTCATATCCGACCGGAGTCATATCCGACCGGAGTCATATCCGGAGTCATATCCGACCGGTGTCATATCCGACCGGAGTCATATCCGGCCGGAGTTATATCCGACCGGAGTCATATCCGACCGGAGTTATATCCGACCGGAGTCATATCCGGAGTCATATCCGACTGGAGTTATATCCGACCGGAGTCATATCCGACCGGAGTCATATCCGGAGTCATATCCGACCGGAGTTATATCCGACCGGAGTCATATCCGACCGGAGTCATATCCGGCCGGAGTTATATCCGACCGGAGTCATATCCGACCGGAGTCATATCCGGCGTCATATCCAACCGGTGTCATATCCGACCGGAGTCATATCCGACCGGAGTCATATCCGGAGTCATATCCGACCGGAGTTATATCCGACCGGAGTCATATCCGACCGGAGTCATATCCGGCCGGAGTTATATCCGACCGGAGTCATATCCGACCGGAGTCATATCCGGCGTCATATCCAACCGGTGTCATATCCGACCGGAGTCATATCCGACCGGAGTCATATCCGGAGTCATATCCGACCGGAGTTATATCCGACCGGAGTCATATCCGACCGGAGTCATATCCGGCCGGAGTTATATCCGACCGGAGTCATATCCGACCGGAGTCATATCCGGCGTCATATCCGACCGGTGTCATATCCGACCGGAGTCATATCCGGCCGGAGTTATATCCGACCGGAGTCATATCCGACCGGAGTTATATCCGACCGGAGTTATATCCGATCGGAGTCATATCCGGAGTCATATCCGACCGGTGTTATATCCGACCGGAGTTATATCCGACCGGAGTCATATCCGACCGGAGTTATATCCGACCGGAGTTATATCCGATCGGAGTTATATCCGACCGGAGTCATATCCGGAGTCATATCCGACTGGAGTTATATCCGACCGGAGTCATATCCGGAGTCATATCTGACCGGTGTCATATCCGACCGGAGTCATATCCGGCCGGAGTTATATCCGACCGGAGTCATATCCGACCGGAGTTATATCCGACCGGAGTCATATCCGGAGTCATATCCGACTGGAGTTATATCCGACCGGAGTCATATCCGACCGGAGTCATATCCGGAGTCATATCCGACCGGAGTTATATCCGACCGGAGTCATATCCGACCGGAGTCATATCCGGCCGGAGTTATATCCGACCGGAGTCATATCCGACCGGAGTCATATCCGGCGTCATATCCAACCGGTGTCATATCCGACCGGAGTCATATCCGACCGGAGTCATATCCGGAGTCATATCCGACCGGAGTTATATCCGACCGGAGTCATATCCGACCGGAGTCATATCCGGCCGGAGTTATATCCGACCGGAGTCATATCCGACCGGAGTCATATCCGGCGTCATATCCAACCGGTGTCATATCCGACCGGAGTCATATCCGACCGGAGTCATATCCGGAGTCATATCCGACCGGAGTTATATCCGACCGGAGTCATATCCGACCGGAGTCATATCCGGCCGGAGTTATATCCGACCGGAGTCATATCCGACCGGAGTCATATCCGGCGTCATATCCAACCGGTGTCATATCCGACCGGAGTCATATCCGACCGGAGTCATATCCGGAGTCATATCCGACCGGTGTCATATCCGACCGGAGTCATATCCGGCCGGAGTTATATCCGACCGGAGTCATATCCGACCGGAGTTATATCCGACCGGAGTCATATCCGGAGTCATATCCGACTGGAGTTATATCCGACCGGAGTCATATCCGACCGGAGTCATATCCGGAGTCATATCCGACCGGAGTTATATCCGACCGGAGTCATATCCGACCGGAGTCATATCCGGCCGGAGTTATATCCGACCGGAGTCATATCCGACCGGAGTCATATCCGGCGTCATATCCAACCGGTGTCATATCCGACCGGAGTCATATCCGACCGGAGTCATATCCGGAGTCATATCCGACCGGAGTTATATCCGACCGGAGTCATATCCGACCGGAGTCATATCCGGCCGGAGTTATATCCGACCGGAGTCATATCCGACCGGAGTCATATCCGGCGTCATATCCAACCGGTGTCATATCCGACCGGAGTCATATCCGACCGGAGTCATATCCGGAGTCATATCCGACCGGTGTCATATCCGACCGGAGTCATATCCGGCCGGAGTTATATCCGACCGGAGTCATATCCGACCGGAGTTATATCCGACCGGAGTCATATCCGGAGTCATATCCGACCGGAGTTATATCCGACCGGAGTCATATCCGACCGGAGTCATATCCGGAGTCATATCCGACCGGAGTTATATCCGACCGGAGTCATATCCGACCGGAGTCATATCCGACCGGAGTCATATCCGGCCGGAGTTATATCCGACCGGAGTCATATCCGACCGGAGTCATATCCGGCGTCATATCCAACCGGTGTCATATCCGACCGGAGTCATATCCGACAGTTCATTTACAATTTTGTGTAAATTAGGCAACTATTTTTTTTTAAATTGAATTCGAAATGAAATGACGGAGATAAATTGATTTATGATTTACATTTGATTTGCTCAGATTTAACAAGATAGCAAAAATAATGAAAGTTACAATATTTATAATGATCTATTTGAAAACATTTAATATTCCTCGAATATTTCATTACGGTACGGGAAGTTCCAGCAATTCACCTGAAAGTACGATACCATACACCACGAGTTTATGTTAAAGTTATTTTACTAATAATTCTGGTTCTTGTCTATTCAATCATAAACATTTGATACTGTTTATAAAGACTATATAAAGAAATAGCTAATAAATTAATTGACCTTATTACGGTTTAGTGATAGTTTCGTAAATAATTCACTAGAATTTCGTTCAAAACAAATATATTAAATTGCTAATGTAATTTTCTAAGAATTCGCAATTGAAGATTTTAATGTAGACAAAATATGTTTATCTTATAATATAAATTTGATTAATATAAATTTTTATAACAAAAGGTTCTGACGGATTCAAATTTTAATAAAAGCGGCAGCAACGCGTGGCCGGGTATGCTGGTAAATATATATATATATATATATATATATATATATATATATATATACAATTACTATAACTCACCCTACAAAAAGTTTAAAAAATCAACTATTTTCTATGATTCATTCATTATTTTATTACTAAAGTACAAAATCATACCAAATATATATTTCGTATTTTTATTTAAAATTTTCATTTCCATCTAAGATCTGCAGCTAAAGAAATGTGATCTGATGGAAAAACTATACTGGGCAAAGCAGTATTTGCTTGAAGTTCTTCTAAACTTGGAAAGGGAACCACCTGAGGTAAAAAATTAAGTACCAAGTTTATAAATTTGTAAATATAAATTTGGGGGTAGATACTAACCTGTTGTACATCAAAAGAATCGTCTTGATAAAATATGTAATCGAGACAATCAGCAAAACCGACGGTATAGTTTGTGTATTGAGGAGTGCCACAGGCACTCCCCATTTTTATATTTTGGGATAAAGATACACCTTTGACGGCTTCTTCTACGTCTAAAAATTAACATAATTAATACACAAATATACGTTTTTTTTTTGAATATTATTTTTACTTGAACTCCAATCTGGTACGTCCTCAGGTACACTTTGTTGAGTCATTAATTTATAAATGCCACATTCGGGGGTGCTATTAAAATCGCCACAAAATATTAAGGAAATTTTTTTATCTGCAAACTGAATTCGTATATTAATTTTAAATATGTCTGAAAAGTATTTTAGTATTTTTTTACCTGTTGTTTTGATTCGCAAAGAATATTATGAACCCATTTCAAAGCAAAAGCAAATTGTAGTAACCTAATGTGATCTGCATCCGGATGAAAATATAAATGTATATTTGCTACTAAGAGCATGTGGTCTTTTTTATCTAAATAGTCGAATAAAACTGCCTGGAAGTAATAATTATTCAAGTAACAAGACTTGTTAAACAAATTTTAAAAATTAAATGTCTAGAACTGAAAATGACTCTAAAAAGTGTTGAAGAAAATACTTCTCATAGGCCGAAAACATTTAGGAAATATTTTAGGAAAATTGATTAAGTAAAAACATTAATTTGCGATGAAAAAACGTTTTTACCAAAATTCAAAAGCTGGGGGATGTTTAAACCGATTTTTTCCTAAATTTAAAGAACGATATGAATCATTGATGAAAGAAATCTTTTTAAAAAATTTAAAAAAATAGATCTTCATATCAGAAATTTTCTTAAAATTCAGAGAATGACATGAAATAAATTATGATGACAAAGACTTTTTATACAAACTTTAAAAATTAACTTCCCATAGGGTAAGTTATAGTAATCGTCCAAAATCGTGAATGATAATTTTTGCATATTTTTACGTTTCCGGGGTTTCTGAACATTTTGGCATACCTTCGAAAAAATGTATGATGGCTTTAAAAAAAACTTCAAATTTTTTAGAAAAATTCAAAGTATAATTCAAAATTGTCAAAAATCTCATCTTTTTCAAAAAATTGTAAAGGTTTTTTGATAAATTTAATTTTTGGTACGGCAAGTTCCAGCAATTTGCCTTAAGGCACGATACCATGCACCACTAGTTTATTAATTTCCCGTAGGGTAAGTTATAGTAATCATCCAAAAATCGAGAGTAATAATTTTTGCATATTTAACGTTTCAAAAGTTTCTGAACATTTTGGCATACCTTCGAAAAAATGTATGATTGCTTCAAAAAAACTTTTCAAAAAAATTCAAAGTATAATTCAAAATTTTCAAAAATCTCAGTTTTTTCAAAGATTTCAAAAAAATTTAAAGGTTTTTTTGGTAAAGCTAGTTTTTGGTACGGAAAGTTCCAGCAATTTGCCTTAAGGCACGATACCAAGCACTACTAGTTTATTAATTTCCCGTGGGGTAAGTTATAGTAATCGTCCAACAATCAAAAAATTTTTTTTTTGCATATTTAACGTTTAAAAATATTGAAATTATGTAAATATTCTCACAATTTTTATAAAAACTCAAAATTCCCAAAAAAGAGTTTTTTGTTCTAAATTTTTAGAAATTTTTTACGTTTCAAGGGTTTTTGAACATTTTGGCATACCTTAAAAAATCGTTCTAAATTTTTAGAAAGTTTTTACGTTTCAGAATTTTCTAAACATTTTGGCATACCTTAGATAAAATCGATATATGTGTGTGTGTGCGGATACAAATTTTCGTCGACGATTTCGGGCGCACGGATCAACCGATTTGAATAATTCAAAAAAACATTCGATTCCTATCGATAAGGAGACGTGCTGATTAGTTTTTGGCAAAGGCAGGTCCTGCCGTTTCGGAGATACGGTGCAAAGAGTGCAGAAAATAGAAATCGAGTTTTTGAGAGAACGGAGCGTCCGATTTGAATAATTCAGAAAACATTTTACTTATATTGACGAAATGAACAACTGATCAAATTTTTGTAAAGGCAGGTCTAGTGGTTTCGGAGATCTAATAAAAAATGTACAAAATAATACGATTTGGCTGTCAAAAATGAACATTAGATATATGTACATCGTATTATCAGATATTTTATAAAGATTATTATAATAAGTACATTTATATGGGTTTCGTACTAATAATACAAAAAAATCGACATATAAAAAATCCAATTTTTCAAAAAAGACGAATTTTTACAAAAATTTCTCAAAAATCTATTTTTTTTTTCAAAGTTTTGCCAAGTTTTTTTTAATAATTTAGATTTCGGTACGGAAAGTTCCAGCAATTTGCCTTAAGGCACGATGCCATGCACCACTAGTTTTATATTATATAATAAAAAATATTCTTATGTACAAAATAATAATTATGTTACCTGAGCTGCTGTTGTCCTTTGCAAAATCCTCTCAACTAAAGGAGCATTATTTTCAATTTTACACCACAAATCTTTAAAAATATCCTGTTTATTTATTTCTTCCCCAAGAATAATACCAAACTTATTTATTTTACTAAAAAATAGATATTAAACATATATGTATGTACAATATTTTTATTAAAAGTTATTATATTTTTTTGTACCTAAACCGATTTTTATTATAACATATTGTTAAACCTTCTGCAACACTTGCACCTTTTTTTTTAAACACACCCTCGAATCCAATGGTGTTTAAAATCGGTGTTAAATCTGAATCAAAAATTTTGCAATCTACTTCTTGCAGACAAGCTATATCAAAATTGTAACCTGGGGAAATTTTATATATATATATATATATATATATATATAAATATATGTATGTATATATATATATATATATACACTTGAAAAACTTTTGCAAATATTCTATTACATTTTACCTAATAATTCTTTTAAAAACAATTGTTTTCTGTAATCAATTTGTAGCGCATAGGGCGGACAATAAGGATGCAAAACAGTTCTAGTAAAATCACTATCAGCATACAGGTCAGCTAGTATGTTATAAGAACATACACGAAAACTGCAATACATATTTATTAACAAAAAATATTATATAAACAGTATACAATTCCCTTCTAACCTATCACCGGACAATTTCTCTTTCGTATAAAGATGTCTAGTATCAAACGGACACAATCCAGGACCAGCTTCAACATTATTTGCAGTAATGCATTCAGCTTTAGGTCCTTCGTCAGTGGTTTCACAAACAACTTTCAATTTATGACCAATTTCATCGTTCGTTGTATTTATAATAAAGCCTTCGCCTATACTAATCCAATTTACATTCTCTGGTTTATGTTTGTCCGGGTCATATATACCTTTGTACCACAAAAACTTGCATTTATCCATAGTTAGAAATTGTAGTTCCAGTTTATTAGGGTACACAGGAAAGTCTGCAAGTATCGATGTAGGTAGTTGTAACGTTGTGATCCATGGAGGATTGTATATGATTTTGTACGTTCTATCGATTACATGTGCTGTTATACATTGATGATTATGAATTACATCTTTGCAAGTATCATCAGGACCTAGAACTTCCTCGTTTTTGTAGAATTTTACATCTATTTCAGGTAGTGTAACTTCTGGTTCCACAGATTTCTTTTTCTTTTTAAGTCTTTTACAAAAGGCTTTTTCTAAATTTGCGTTCATTCTAGCTGTACATACTGTGATATTTTCGGATACATTTCGACTAAAATTGAATTCTCTATCGACACCAAATTTGTCGTTGGTGTATCTAAAGGATATTTGTACATTTTCAGAATTTTCTTCTTGCCTGAGGTACATGTGTTCCATGTTTAGAATCATTTTGTGTATGGAACGTTTGTCATGAAAATTTATTATTTGGAAACGAATACCGCATATTAACCTCAGCATTAATAAATAGTAATGTAAATTATCAACTAATTAACACTAATAATATAAATACACTAGTTATAACCATAAATTTTACACTTTAGTAGCACATAACCTCAAAACTTTGACATCTTCAATTTGACACCTAACCTCACTTTCTTGCAGTTTTTGATAGCTGCTTAAATGTGCACATCTGCATTAATTATTATTCAAATAAAAAACAACGGTTGATTAAACATAATTATTTATAACAAATACAGTATCCTTTTACAATTGTAAAACAAAAGAAATAAATAGTTATATATTAACAAGATTCCTTCAACTTCAACTTAAACAAATATTAAGAAATTGTATACACTAATTGCTGAAACCTAAAATATCTTCTTAAAACCCTTCTAATAATAAAACTTATTACATCTGCGGCAACTGATCTATGGGTGTAGCAAAATTGAAGTCTTCTGGGAACAGTTTAGATGCTGACGGATACATTAATTTATAAGATTGTCTTATTGTAACATCAGCTACACCAGCAATGTCACCAATTTCTTTTTGACTTCTTTTCTCCTCAGACGCCTGGGTAAAGGATAATTGAATATTAACGCAAGTTTATGATATTGTAAGATTTATTATTATACCTGTGATGCCATGTAAATAGCAGCAGCCGCTACAGAAATTGGTGATCTACCAGGCACAATATCGAATTCTACAGCTTTTCTAGCAATGTGGGTTGCAGCCCTTTGTACCATATTCGGCAAGCTAAGGTTTGAGCAAAATCTTGACATGAATCTGCTGTTGTTATAAGGTCAACGGATGTTTCCAGAGCCTTTAGTATTAATTTGAAGCATCTTCCTATTTCTCGTTTGCTTATTTTGCTAATAGCACAAATTTCTTTTGAAGGTACGGGGGACACCTTCTTGTCTGCATGCAATGTATAGGCAAGCTGATGCGATTGCATCATTTGCTCGGCCTTTTAGATTCTTACCATCATGCACCTGGTAATAGACACATAAATATATATATATATTATATATATATATATATATTATATATATATATACAAAAAATACTTAGAAAAATCGGTCCAGCCGTTTTGGAGTTTAGCCCAAACAAACATACAAACAAAATTTTAAAAATTGTCAATTTGAAAACAACTATTTCAATATTTCAAACAGACACTACAATTTTATTTATATATAGTATATAGTATATAGCTTGAATTTAAAGTCATGAAATATAGAGCTTGGTGTTCCACAAAGCACTATTCTTGGACCAAACCATTTTTATTTATTGTATTTATTAATGAATTAATTAAAAAAATGAGGAAATCATGCTAAATTTGTGGAACTATTTGTTAATATTATCTCGTATGTCAGTCATAGGACTTAGAACTTCTTAGCATCAGACACATGGGTGGATAAAATTAAAAAAAAAAATTAATTTGAAAAGGACTATTCAAATTACAAACAGACACTACAATTTATATATATATAATATATATATATATATATATATATATAGCCTTAATTTAAAATTATTTAAGAAAATCATAAAATATAGAGCTTGGAGTTCCACAAAGCACCATTCTTGGTATATATATATATGTATATATATATATATATATATATATATTATATATATTACCTGTTTGAATAAATTATTAGCACGATCTACAATTGTTTTCGGCAAATTAATTCTATCAGCCATGTTATTAATTTCCCTAAAGGCATTTATTAACGTCCTATCTGATGTACTCATTGTTCTACGGTTCTGATATTTTGAAGCGCCAAAAGCATCAAAAGAAGCGTCACCTCTTCCAGGACCTAAAAATAAAAACAACAGGTTTAGGAATATAAAACCAGAAATGTTTACCTTTGTAAGAGTGTTAAAGTGGTCATTTACCTATCATTGTTGATAAATCCCCTCCGCTCAACAAAGGATTTTCAGGACCACCGACACGAGATGGATCAGCACCTCCTTTTTCATTATTGAAAGTTCTCCACTCAGAACCGACGTCTATAACCCTTCAGAATAAATTCAATACATTAAACTCGCTGTCAAACTACCCTAGTTTAATTTTATTACCTGTCTCCTACTACAAGACCACATTCTGAACAAATTTGGTCCCCGGCTCGATAATCTTCAATCAAATGTGCATCAGGGTGTGCAGGGCAACAGACCTTATTGCTGTACCCCTATGCCTGCAAAAGATACCAAATAACCCATTTACTCTATTATTATTAACAATTTCAATAAAAATATGGATGGACTTGAGTCTACCTTGAAGATGAAGCCATTTAATTAATATATAAATACCAGTCTTATACTATTTTACTAACAAGTCACTAATTGTATGTGTATGGTTCTCATTTATATTTATGTGATAATAATCAAAATGTTGCTTTTGACTAGAGTTTTATTTAAATAAAACATTGAGTAAAGCAAAACCGACAAACATAAATAAGAAAAAGCATAAATGACATATGGTGACAAGATGCAAGTACCAATAGAGGAATGTAAAGTTTGGTGGGAAATTTGAATTCCTTGCAGAGGTAGTAAACAGTTGAGAGGTAATATATTATATATATATTATATATATATATATTATATACATAGATAAAAGAAGAGATATATATATATTATATATATATATATATATTAATATATATATATATTAAAACAATAAATAATGAACTATTCATTTATAAGTTTCGACACGGTATATGTGTCATCATTCAGCAATATATTAAAATTTATACAGTATCTAAAAGAATTTTTACAAAGTTTAAAAATATAAGTTTATATATATAATAAATAAAATAATCAACCAAGTAAAAATTGATACCTACCACACCAGCGAAAAAATCACAAAATTTAAACTAACAAATTGAAAATAAAAATATAATAATAAGTAAAAAATAATAATAAAACACCCGATAAAAGCCGAAGGGTTCACGAAAGTTGATGCAGGAGTGGAATTTCAAAGACAGTTAAACACAATACAGAAATTAAATTTTAAAAATATGAAAATATAGAATTAAATGACTAAAACTAAAAAAAGGTCAAAGATTCGAAGAATTGTTATTAAAAAAAATGATAATATTATGATAAGTGTCATTTACTAAAAGAGCAGAATTTCGTTTATTAACGGGGTTTAAAAAAGATAAAACAGATTCAGCAAAATTTTCTGAGGGCACCATTTTTTTCTTTATGTAAAATAAAGGATTTTTAACATTAAAAGTATGGTTTAAATTAATGACATGTTCCGAAATCAAAAAAATCTAAATCTTATATATGTATATTAGATGGTAGAGTCTTGGATTTGTAAATATTTTGTAGAGCTTCACAAAAAAGAATCCAAAAAGTAATAAAAAACAAAAAAGTTTTTCAAAAAGATATATTTTTTTTAAAAAAGATAACTATTCTCATATACCAAACTCAAAAAAGACATAATTTAAAGAAATTACAAAATTTGTTTCTCCGTCTAAAAAGATATTTATAAAATCACTTCTTTTGATAAAAACTTTTATAGTTTAATTTAGTAAAAAATCAATTATACCGGCAATTAATTATGTTTTTTTCAGTAACCTTTACTTAAAACTATCTACATTTATTAACATTTTTAATATTTTTTTTATATAATCCACACATTTATTTTTATCATTTTTATTTTGATTAAATTGTCATATTTCTGTACATTATTTTTCCCACAATTTTATTCAGTTTATATAAAAAAATCTTAGCTTTTCTTAAACACTTTATAAAAAGCTTTTCTTAAACATATTGTTTGCTTAAATCTTTGCTATATATATATATATATATATATATATATATATATTATATATATATATATATATATATATATATATATATATATATATATATGTTTATATATATATATACTAGCTGACCCGGCAAACGTTATTTGGCCATAAACATTATTACTAGTCTTTTTTTATTTTTAGTATAAAAGTTAGTAACTGATTGCTAATGTGGTGTTTAAATAGCAATTGCAAAATAGTAATGGAGTTCCTATCACATTAATATGCTAAAATTTGTATATATTTTCCAAAATATGTTTTTTTAATCAAATTGTAGGCATTTTTAACATATATATGTATATATTAAAACTCATTTTGTTAATGTGATAAATGATAAATTTGATCAGTTACCATTTTTGAATTTTGCGCCAACATGAAGTTCTTCACCTCTGCATTCCGCCGACCGACTTATTTGTCAGTAATGTCCGACAACATGATAACTATTACAACTAGTAGACGTCATATTTCATAACTTGTAAATATATATAAAGAAATTAATTAAAATACGATTTATTTGGTCGACTTGTGATGTGTTCTAATAATTTCTATAATTCCCCCCAATCAATTCCGAACCTATGAATCAGTGACAAAGTGTTAAAAACCTTTTAAACTATTCAACTGTGACAGTCTTCCAAGACTGATCTAATTCTGCTGCTGTTACATATTTATATAAAATATTTTTTCAAAAATGCCCCTGTTTGGAAAATCGCAAAAGAGCCCGGCAGAATTGGTAAAAGCTTTAAAAGAAGCGGTCAATTCGCTGGAACGGGGCGACAAGAAGGCAGAAAAGGCTCAGGATGATGTTAGCAAAAATTTGGTTAGTAACAAAGAAAAGTGGAAAGTTTTTCGGTGACGATGGTTTAATTAATTTTTATTCGTTTTCTGCAGGTGCTTATTAAAAATATGTTGTACGGAACATCAGATGCGGAACCGCAAACAGATATAATTGTTGCACAATTAGCTCAGGAATTGTATAACAGCAATTTATTGCTCTTGTTAATTCAGGTATGGGAATGTCATTTCAATTAAATTTGATACAATTGAATATCACGAATAAATCTCAACTGTATATACTGTCTTACTTTCATGACCGTATTTAGAATAATATTAAGTGTGACATTTGTCCTTATGAAGATATTTTTGCACTTGCAAATATTCCATTGAAGTGACAGCTCAGATTTAATAATTTATAAATCTGATATATACTGAAAATACTATTTTGTTAGCATCATTTGATGACCCATAACAGTATAAATAATTAAATTATA